AGAGGGAAAGCTCGTATACACATGAGCATGGCGTCCAAGGGAACCAGAACTGGGTGCTGGACACCCTGTAGCTGGAGTTGCAGGTCATTGAGAACAGCCTGACAAAGGTTCTGAGAACCAAACTTGAGACTTCCATCTAGAACAATACATGCTCTTAACTGTGGAGCCAACTCTACAGCCCCCAGCAACTTGCTATCTTAAGAAGAAGAAGAGGAAGAGGAAGAGGAAAGAAAACAGTCCTAACAAAACTATAAAATTACTAAAATCACTATAAGATCTGTATGTGTGTAGTTTGGGGGAGAGGGTAACTTCACAACATAGTTCTCAAGCACGAACTTTGTAGATGTTAATGATCTGCTGCTGTGTCCAAAAGTTTAGGCAGCCAGGCAACGAGAAGCTCCCATTTTCAGCCCATGGACATTGTCCAGACAGCAGTGGATGCTGTTAGGTTCTCCCACCCAAGCCAAACTGAGGAAAACTCTAGCCTTCCTCACATTTCTAGGTGTGAGTCTTGTTGTTTTGTTTTATATTTTGAGGCAGGTCACACTGTATAGCTCAGGCTGGCCTATAACTCACAGAGATTAGGCCGTCGGGGCCCCCTGCTGCCCCCTGCCCCGCCCGCGCAGTGCTAGGGGTAAAAGGATGTACCACCACATCCAGCCTTTTTCTTCATTTGTATCAGAAGTCTCATAGCAATATTGCTCACCAGGATCTCTGACTGTGTAACACCAAAAAAGATGAATTTCTTGCTGAGCAGCATGGACAAATGTCTACACGCTCTGTTTAAGAGAGGCTGCTTAAAATAAACTCTAAGATAAAAGTGCTGTATTCACAATAGCCAAGGTGGCCCAGTGATGCCCTGACTTGGGGCTTGGAGATGGAATTGTAACTCTCTCTCATTTTTGCTGGGCTCTAAACTTTTCCATTGAAGATCTGTATGTAGGCACGTCTTGTTTCATAGATCTCAAAACATCCTGGGTTAAAGCATCCCAAAAGGTCAACTCAAAAATAGTCAAGTCTAGAGCTGGAGAGATGGCTCAGCCATTAAAAGCACTGGCTACTCTTGCAGAGGACCAGAGTCCAGTTCCCAGAACCCACATGGAGGCTCACAACCATCTGTTACCCTAGTCCCAGGGGATTCAATGTCAATCACTGTACACATAAGGTGCATAGACATACATTTGGAAACACACGCATACACATAAAATAAAGGTAAATAAAATTTCAAAAAAAAAAAAAAAAGAATAGCCATGCTTGGAGTTATCGAGATGTTTAGCAGGTGAAGTGCTTGTTACTCAAGCCTGAAGACCTGAGTTCAGTCTCCAAAACCCATAGGGTGGAAAGAAAAAACCAACTCCCTGAATTTGTTCTCTGACCACCATACTCATGTACCCACCCATAAGAATAAGTACATAAATGTAATTTTTAAGATAGAACAAAACAGGGCTGGAGAGATGACTCAGTGGTTAAAAGCACTGGCTGCTATTCCAGAGGTTCTGAATTCCCAGCAACCAGATAGTGGCTCACAACCATCTGTAATGGGATCCGATGCCCTCTTCTGGCAAGCAGGTGTACATGCAGATAAAGCACTTGTATACATAAATAAATAAAACTTTAAAAAAAAATACTTAATTGGACAATTCCCCCAGGATGGATTGCTCTTTAGAGTTAAGGAAGCCCCCTTTGTAGCAGTGAATGAAGGATCTCAGTACCAAGGTCACCAAGGTCATGACCCAGGTTCACTCGCCATGTCTGCAGCTGTCAGTAGTCAGATAATCTCAAGATATGCCAGTAACAGCCGCAGAATACCTCTATGGCCTCTGCACTGTTGGGCAGCCTGCCTGTCATCCTCCATGACACTTTACCCTCAGCCCCCACCAAAACTGACCCAAGTACAATATGCCCTTTTCTCTAATGCAGGGCTCCATGGCTCCCTGCCCATCCCCACATTTTTAAAAGAGGAGAAGGAGGTCTCTCCATAGCCATGCTGGGGAGTCTTGAAATCCTGGATCGTTTGGCTACCTTCTGTCCTAAAATGATGGGCATCGATGTCCTTGCTTCTAGTTCACCCTGGGTTCTCAAGTGCTAACCGCCTATGTTTGTCTGTTATTTGGCATGTCAGTCAATAAACATCTAAGAACCCATCATTCGACATCCACTAATTAGCAAAAGGGAATCATGAACAAACGAGATAGGACCATGACAGGTAGCATATGGCCTGGTGGAGACAGGGAGAAAACAAACGCACATATCAATAAATAATCAATGACTCAAAGTAGCGCACGCATGTGATCTGAATGGGAAGTGTCTCCTGGGCTCGTGTCTCCCAATACTTGGTTCTCAGCTGGGGGTGGGCCTTGAGGTATTAAGTAGGGAGTTAAGGCCTGGCGGAGGAAGTAGGTCACCAGTGGGAGGGGCTACTGAGGTAGGGCCTGGCTAGAAGAAATGGATCACTGGGAGTGAGTGCTGATGTTTCTTAGCCTGGCCCCATTTCCAGTCTTCTCTCTGCTTTCTGGCCATAGGTACAACATGAGCAACTAACTGCCCTACTCTCCGGATGTCATGCCTTCCCAGCCCTAATGGGCTCTGTCCCCTCAAGCTGTAAGTTTCTCTTTGAAGTGTACCTGGCCCCAGCTCTGAGAAATCAAATAAAACAGGATGATGAGACAGAGAGGAGCAGAGCAGGGGAGGCTGCCCATAGGTGTGATGATGAAAGGAAGCTATTTAAACATCTGCAGGAGGAATGTTCCAGAAAGAGGGGACAGCAAGCACCAAGTCCTGAGAAGGGAACGGCATTGCTTACTTCATTAGTCAGCCTCACATTGCACTGACAAAATATCTGAGACACAATTTATAAGGAAGAAAGAGTTGCTCCTGGTTTTAATCCACGCTTCCTGGCTCCATCATCTTGTGCCTGTGGCTAGACAGAATATTCTGATGGGCGGCGAGGTGCATGTGGCAGAGAAAAGCGTCTCCCTTCACCGTGGCCAGGAAGCAGAAAGAGGAGAGGCCTCACAGCAGCATCACTTCCTCCCACTAGGCCCCGCCCTCTAAAGGTTACACTGACTCCCAATAGTAACACAGCCTAGAAATCAAGCCTTTTAATGAGGGTTCAGGCAGGAGACTTACAGCAGGCAGGTAGGGCTGACTAGAGAGGATCGGAGGGGCAATGAATCATTTCATTCACGTTTCAGTCTTCTCATGGTTCTTTATTCTTAAAAGAGTTCTTCCCCTAAAGTTCTCTCTCAAAAGGCTCTCTTTGAAATTTCTCCTCAGAAGTTCTTTCTCTAAACGTCCTCCCTTAAAGCTCTCTTTAGAAGTTCTTCTTAAAAATTCTGCTAGATCCCACAAGGTATCCAATTTATAAACCCACAGACACAATTAGCAATTCTCTGGCAATAGCAAGGATACCAGGCATGCATATCTCGAAGAGCCTGGAAGGCAGATAAGGCCTTGACAAAAGTGAGGAGTCGTGACTTGTAAAAGTCTGTGCAAACTTAAATCTCAGGGAGGATGTGGATTATAAAATGTGTGGGCAAACTTAAGAGGCTGGGGAAGGGTTAAATAGAGTAAGGGGCTGTGTGAGATCTGGAGGCTGCAGCTCTTACACTGATGCCCTGGTGAGAAGGAGCTCTTTTCTCTGGGGTGTTTTTTGAGACGATAAAGCACCCAGTATATATTCTATATGTCAAGATTATACGACCAAATTAATAGCAATAGATATTCTGTAATCTGCATTTCTTGCAGACTTTGCAAGGCAAGTTTTCTCCACTGGGTTGATACCTAGAATATTAATCGCTACTTCTGTAATAAATGATAAAGGCTCCCAGCAGCCTTTAACACCTGGTCCTTGGGAGACATTTCAGATCCAAACTGTAGCATCTGGTAAGGAAAGAGGAGAGGCTGGTATGGGATGGATAGAGTGGAATGAAGTGGGATTCACGAGGCAGGCAGGAGCCCATGGGTTCCCTGGCACCTCAAAGGCTGAGGGAGGAGCCGTGGAGGTCGTAAGATAGGAGCCATCAGCTCTGAGCTTTGAACGGACTACTCTGACTGCTGGGAGAAGAATTAACGTGGGCAGAGAAGGCAAAGCAAACAGGCAGAGGTGAGATGGTCGCTTGGCCTAGACTGCAACACCAAGAAACCAAGGATGTGTTCTGAGGAGAGGATTGCTAGGACCCCAGGGTAAAGGCACCGAGCCCAGTGTCTATAGCTGGATGACACATGCATGTATATGCACTTGCCCAAACATGCACACCAACCCTTTCCTCCCCAGGATAGGGCACTGTGGAAGACTCCAGACCCTGAAGCCCATTCTGGGTTGAAATCCACCCCCATGTCCTTACTAGCCATAAAACTTGACACAAAGTGTCTTAGCCTTGCTACATGATGGGCTCCTCCCTGCGGAATGGGATGGATGAGAGAAGGTGTCTTTATGAACAGCTCAGTGCCACATGGGAAGCAGTTAGAGAAGGACCCTGCCCTGTGACTTCCTAAAGCCCTTGAAGCAGCCATCTGGGGGCTTAATTTAGAATGATACCGTTTAGCCAGCCAGTGGTGGCCACACCTTTAATCCCAGCACTGGGAGGCAGAAGCAGGCAAACTCATTCTCTGTGAGTTTGAGGCCAGCCTGGTCTACAGAGAGAGAGAGAAGGAGAGAGAGAGAGAGAGAGAGAGAGAGAGAGAGAGAGAGAGAGAGAGAGAGAGAGAGAGAGTTCCAGGATAGCCAAGGCCACACAGAGAAACCCTGTCTAAAAAATAAATAAATAAATAAATAAATAAGAACAAGAACCATAACTGCAATTTAGCAGGACATGGTGGCGCATGCCTTTAATCCCAGCACTTGGGAGGCAGAAGCAACTGGATTTCTATGAGCTGGAGGCCAGCCTAGTGTATATAGTGACTAAAATAGTCTATATAGTTCCAGGACAGCCAGAGCAATGTAAAGAAACCCTATCTAAAGAACAACAACAACAACAAAGCAAACACAGGTAAATGAATAAATAAAAACGATGCAACTTTATTCTTCTGCAATTCTGAAAGCCATCGTACACAGTTCCACTCAGCTCAGACCTAATTCTTCTTGGAGGTCCCATGCAGGGGACAGTCTCACACTTGCTTTCTTTGGCAACATCCTGGTTCCTGCTTATCACTTCTGTCCCTACCGCACATCCTCTTTTTCTGACTCGCTCTATTCCTCTTTAGAGGGACCCTTGTGATCCTATTGTGGGCCTGCTTAGATAGTACAAAATCATCTTGAAACCCTAACCTGTCTTTCAATGTATAAGAGCATTCACAGATTATGGGCTTTAGGATGAAAATGTCTTTGGGGGCCATATGATAAACAATACATAGAGGTTAATTGCTATTTTTACTGTTGTTGTTGTTGTTGTTGTTGTTACAATTTACACAGCATCCCTGAAGCAGCGTCCAGCCATAGCAACTTTCAAGGTACCTTGGCTGTAAGAAGGGATGTGGAGAGACACTTAATTCGCTGGAACCCCCTGAGGCTGGACCCCAAGCTCAGAGTAGAGCTAAAGGCCATGAGAGTTGGATGGGCAGAGTTCAAGTCACCCGCCAGGCCTGGTTAGGAAGCAGACACAGAGGCAGATGGCAGGAACATGTTCCCAGTCTTCTTCAGGGACCACGGTCAAGGCACGACCACAGGCTAGGGCCTCTTGATGCTGCTATATTGCGTGGACTCCTCGAGGTTCGTGCTGGGAGTGTGGGTGTTGTTGTAAATGGGCTCCTGACCCAAGGCCACCAAAGACAGAGCTGCATATGAAATCTCCTCCCTGGGGAAGGGAGCCTGTGATACAGAGAGTCACAACGTCAGCAAGGCTGAGACAAACAGCGGCCACCTGATGGCACAAGAAAGTCCTCAGAGGAGGTGGGTCAGGGCTCCAGCTTCCCTCCATTCTGTCGGGTAAGCCAGATAACCTTCAGCCACAACACAAGAGAATCCATCCTCTGCCAGGAGATCCACTTCCTACAGGACCCTGAGCCTCTTGGGCAGTGTGGCTGCTCTTCCCTGCCCAGTGTTAGGACCACACTGGACAGGCCCAAGTCTGCAGGGTTGGGATGGGTATGGAAACACTTCTAAAACCTGTTGGGCCTGCTCAGACCTCCCCCTCTCCAGCTGTGTCCACGTGGGGGTGGGGCAGTGGCAGGCTCACATCTCTGCAGCCCCACGGAAGACGTACCATGGTGACATACTCCACTTCCTCTTGGGGGGCCTTGCCAGAGGAGGACATGCAGGAGTCCTTTTTCCGAAGGAAACCCTGGGAGGGTCTGGGCTGCTGAAGGGACAGGTTTGCATAACAGACATCGCCTTCCAGAGACTGTGATACCTGGAGTGGGGGGAGGGGACACAGGATGTGCAAGTTCAGAATTAGCCTGCGGAAATAGATTCCACTTTTGCAGAGGGACATGGGCCTCACAGATTTCCTGCGGACACTCAGCTCCTTATGCTCCCCACCCCCAACTCCACCATCTACCCAGGCCTCCTCCCCTCTGGCTCTTTCTGGACTCCCTCATCCTCATCCCTCTGGCTATTTCTAGGTCCCTCATCCCCCCCCCCTCAATCCTTCAGGGGTCAGGAGTCTGTAGATATGCTGAGATGTGGCTTATCTGATGCATTTGGACATAGAGGCTCCCAGGAGGTAGAAAATAAGTAAAGAAGGTAAAAAATCTGCCGGTCCCTCTTGCCTGGCCTCTGGGACACTTACCTGCTCTGAGTGTGGCCCAGCAGCTAAAAGGAAAAAAAAAAAAATCTGAAATTAGAAAACCTACCCTTGAGGCTTGCAAAGACCTTACAAGCAATGAAGAGAAGCGGGGCGGGGTGGGGCGGGGCGGGGCGGGGTACAAACAAGGCTCTAGCTCAGAGACAAGAAAGCTGGTTTCAAATTCTGACCCTTGGGAGTCACAGTCTGTGACACTAGTCATCTTGGAGGAGTGAGTTTCCATTTCTCCACCAGAAAAAAAGGGGCCTTAACCTACCTGACTTCACAGAACTATGCAAATGATGGGCAGGGTGGCCTTGCCAGCTCTGACTCTCCTAGAGCTCAGAGTCTCCCTGTGGGATCCTGGGTTTCATTCATAACTTTTCTTGTTATGGCCATCATTCCTCCACCTGACACACCCTACAAGGCCACATCAAGGTTATGTCTATCTTTGCTAGCGACTGGACCATCTGGTCCCCTTCCTCCCATGGCACTCGTCCGTCACACCACCTTCGTCTAATTCTGAATTCTACTTCATCTTCAGCCAGGCTCTGAGTCACAGGGTGTCTGGGCCTGCCTCCTGCAGATGCTTGCCTCTGCCTGACAGCTGAGCATTCTGCCCCAGCTAGGATTCCCCGGGCTGGGTCAGTGCGGTGTGAATAAGTGGGGGAAAGGGAGAATGATGGGTTTTGTAATTTTTTCTACCCTTGACCTTCTTCCTCCCTGCCTACATCCCACCCCTTGTCTGGAGAAAAAAAAAAAAAGAGAGAAATAAAGGATTACCCGCCCCCCAGTTCTTAGTTAGCATCAAACCACCTGATACCTGGGAATAAAGAAAATACTTAAACTTGGGTTTCGGTCAACAAATTTGGGAGCAGAAGGGATGAGTAAGAACCAGGGTCTCGGGGCCAGCAGGATGGCTAGGAAAGTAAAAGGTGCTTGCCGTGGAACCTGACAACCAGAGTTAATGCTCTGAACCCACACAGTAGAAGGAGAAAACCAACTGCCACATGTTGTCCTCTGACCTCCACACGTGTGCTATGGTATATATACACATGTGGGTACACGAATACACACACACACACACACACTTTAAAATTGTTACTAAGTTTTAAAAAGAACCTAGTCTGGCCAGGCGTGGTAGAACACACCTTTAGTCCCAGCACTCAGGAGGCAGAGGCTGGTGGATCTCTGTGAGTTTAAGGCTAGCCTGGTCTACACAGTGAATTCCAGGACAGCCTGAGCTACACAGTGAGACCCTGCCCCCTTTTTGTTTTGTTTTGTTTTTTGAGGCAGGGTTTCACTGTCTAGTCCTGGCACTAGACAATGCCGCTCCCTCCTAGGGCAGGGTGGGGATGGAGTGGGGTGGGGTGGGATGGGGGATGGAGTGGGGTGGGATGGGGGGATGGAGTGGGGGGGGATGGAGTGGGGGGATGGAGTGGGGGGATGGAGTGGGTGTGGATGGGAACACCTCGGGTCCCTGGGCATTCTGAGAAACATTCTACAACTACTTGAAAATGTGGAAGTGAAGCCAGACAAGAAAGGGCTTGGTTGGTGCCAGACCTTGTGATCTGAGAGACCTTGTGACTCGGGGAGAAGGGGCTCTCTTCTCTGAAAAGCAGGGTCACCTAGAACAAGTAGGTCAGGCTGAGAAGGGGCTGATGGTCAGGGGAGAAACTGAAGTCACACTGATGCTCCTGATGCCTGGAAACACACACTCATGAATGCATGTGTATGGCACACATGCACTGACACTCGTGTGTGTGTGTGTGTGTGTGTGTGTGTGTGTGTGTGTGTGCGTATGTTCCCTCTCCCGGGTGAGCTCGGCACCTCCTTCACAGCCACATCTCCCTAGAGTGGCTTGCCCTCCTAAAGCCATTGCTCCTTTACTTCTGCCACCTTGACCCAAACTAGGAAACAAGGACGAGGCAGATCAGAGGGGAGCAAGGATGTTCGGGCGAGGCCGCTGTCTCCAAATCTTCCTAGTGGAGTTCCAGATCACCTGCAGCCTCTCAGACTGCCAGCTTGGATAGTCTCTGAGGCCAGCTGTCAGACAGCAGTGCTAGCCACCAGCCCACACCAGCCAGCCAGCCCCAGCCAGCCTCAGGGCCAGACACGCTCACCTTTCTTCTGTCTCCTCACCATCCTCCAAGCAAAGAGCGAGGCCACCAGCAGCAGTAGCAACAGCACCGCACAGATAACCGGGAGGAGCACAGTGAGATCCAAAAGACCACTGCCTCCGCCGTCACCATCGTCACTGTCCACATCAGGGCTGGAACTGCCACCGCCATTGTCGACATCAGGGCTGGAACTGCAGAAGACATGTGCACCCAGGCCTGTGCCTCCCAACCTCCGAGCCCAATCCTAGCTACCTGGTGCCTGATGCAGGACCAGCACCTTATGGCCCACAGAGCTCTGGTTTCCAGTCAGGGGACCCTCACTCCGGGTTCCTTCACGGACTGTGTCTAGAAGCCCAGCAAGAACTGTACAACCAGAGGCCTGAGTCAGGCTTCCCAGGTCCTACGCATGCCCTCACTACAGACGGAACCGGTGTTTTCCATTGCTTAGATGGGCAGGGTTGCCACACGCCTCCTTGTTATGGTTTGGGTGTTTGTTTGAGTCCTCTTGTGTTTGTTGTTTGGTTGTTTTTTGTTGCCGTTGGTTACTGATTCACTGGTTTGGGTTTTTTAAAGACAGAATCTCAGGGAGCCCATTGGTTGTTGGTCCATCGGTTTTGTTTACTTGATTCAGAATCTCGGGTAGTCCAGGCTAACCTCAAACTCAATATGGAGCTGAGGATGACCTTGAACTCCTGATGTCCCTGCCTCTGCTTCCCTAGTGCTGGGATTACAGGTGTGTGACACCACTCCTTAGAGGGGGAGAAATTTGAACACATATAGGGAGAAGCCATAGGCCAGGGACAGGAACTGGAATAACACATTGCTGCCAACCAGGCCTGGAGGGGTGGTCACTGGTTAAGAGCACTTGCAGTTCTTGCAAAGAACCCAGTTTCTGTTCCCAGTACTTTCCAGCACATGGTAACTCACAACTGTCCAGTTCCAGGGGATACAAGGGTGCCAGATACCAGTGGGTACATAGACATACACATAAGCAAGCACTCATACACAAAAAATAAAAATAAATAAATTATGCACATATATGCATTATATGTACACACACACACACACACACACATATATATATCTGCTAGAAGGAAGGCTTGGGACTGAATCTCCCTTTGGTACCCGAGCCTTATTTGAAGATGGGTCTGTCTCTAAGTGAGCCATGGGGAGGAGCTTTAATCTAATGCAGTCAGTCTCCTTATGAGAGGACAAGGGGGCTGGGTCGTCAAGTATGACGACCTGAGTTCAACCCCTAGAACCTACAATTAAAAGGCCAGACAAGGTGATATGCTCCTGTAATCTTAGTACTGGGAGGTGGAGACAGAAGGCTCCCAGGGAGAGGGTGGGGCTTCCTGGCCAACCAGGCTAGACTGCTTAGGGTGAGTTCCAGCCAATGAGAAACTCTGAGTGTGGAAAACAAAAGAAAAGATGGCACCTGAAGAACAGAAGTGGAGGTTGTCTGGGACGCGCGCGCACACACACACACACACACACACACACACACACACACACACACACGGGAGGGGGGAGCGGGGTGAGGGGAAACCATCAGCTACTACTCTTTTAAAGCCGTTCAGAAAGAAGGCAATGGGATTAGCTCTATGGCACTTGCATAGGAGGTGCTGAGGTTCAGTCCTCAGCTCTGCAAAACAAAAACAAACAAAAGCCTCACAACAGAGAGCTGGGAGGGGAGTGAAGGGGCCCCTGATGGGAGGAAGACTGGGGTCTCCCAGGAGAGTTTTGTGGAAAGGACTCATAGGTGGGGACCCTTGGAAGGTCTGAAAGCAGAGTCAAGGGGCTGGACAGATGGCCCAGGGGCTAAGAGCAGTGACTGCTTTCACAGAAGACCTGGGTTTGATTCCCAGCACCCACATGGTGGCTCATAACCACCTGTAACTCCAGTTCCGGGGGATCCAACGCCCTCTTCTGGCGTCTGTGGACACCAGGCACATGCAATGGTACACAGACAAAACCCTCCCCTCCCGTACAAAAAGTACGCTAGTTGATTAATTAAAAATAAATAAATGCAATGTTATGAGGGCAAAGAGAGCAAAAAAAAAAAAAAAGAAAGAAAGAAAGAAAGAAAAGAAAAAAGAAAAAAAAAAAGAAAAAAGAAAAGAAAAAAGAAGAGGCCTCTCACATTCAAGGAAGTTCTTTGATTACCAGTATCTGGGAAAATTAATTACGAGAGAATAAACCAGGTTCTGGCCTTGTTAAAACTTCTATCAATGATCCAGGGTCAAAATTCTCTGAGGAAGCTATCTAGGCTGTTTCCACCTCCATAAAAGTGATACATTTGTATGTATCCATTCCTCTCATGGGTGACCATAGGCTAGGAGAAAGATAACATCAGGCAGAGCTGAGGATATGGTTCAGCTGGTAGGGGTCTTCCACATGAGGCTCTAAACTGAACCACAGGTTTAAACAGGGTGTGGGGACAGACATCTGTAATACTCGCACTCAGGGTAGAGGCAGAAGGCCCAGAAGACCGAGGTCAATCTCAGCTCCATAGTGGGTTCAAGGTCAGAGTGGGTTGCAGGAGACTCTGTTAGGAGGTAGGGGTGGAGAAGAAAAGAAAATGAAAGGAAGGGAGAGGAAAGGAAAGGGAAAAACCCTTTCATAAGCTGCCTCATGGGCTAGAGACATTGAGTACCTACCAATACTGCAGTTCCTATTTGAACAGTAAGCGTGTATGTGTGTGTGTGTGTGAGTGTGTGTGTGTGTGTGAGAGAGTGTGTGTGTGTGAGAGTGTGTGTGTGTACATGTGTATAGTGTCCTCAGATGCAAAAAGAAGGCATTGGATCCCCTAGGACTAGACTTATAGATGATTGTTACCAGCATGTAAATGTTGGGATTCTAACACACACACACACACACACACACCTGCCACGCTGTCCTTGCTGACTTCCTATGAATATCTCTCTCCCACCTAGCACTACATCCGTGTCTCTGGAACCCAACACATTAGCTTCCATTAGAGGAGGATGAGTGAATGAACAAATGAACCAACAAACCTGGAACCCTTTGTTCCAGGATGAGGGCTCACTGGGAACTGACGGAAAGTTGGGAGAGCCAGCATCCTTAACTACACAAATAGAGCTTGAAACTTCAGAGAATCGACTATTCGAAGATTTGGGGCCAACTAAACCACAGAGGACAGCAACGTCCAAACTGGCTTACCTGTCAACGGAGTAGGAGCTGCTCGTCGATGGGGAAATGCTGGTCCCATTTACAGCAGTACTCTCTGTGAACATGGTGGTGGTGGAGGTGATGGGGAGCGTGGTCAACACTGTAGTGGGTGCTTGGGTTGCTTGGCATAAGACAGATTATAACTATTCCAGCCACCCACTCACAGCGTACTCTTGCTCTGAGCCTGTGAGGGAGTGGGGGCCATCCCAGGCAGAAGATTCTAGAGCAGGGATGGGGCAGGCAACTATAGCTGAAACACTAGCATTCTCTCGACCTCCAAGCAAGCCCAGGGCTTCTAAGGCAGGTGGGGCTGGGCACAAGGCTAAGGAAAATGTGGGGCCCTGGAGGGAGGCAGGGGAGGTCCAGATCCAGGACAGCTGTAGCCGACTGCCACACAGTGCCTCCCTCCAACTTTATCAGGCAAGGACAGGAGCAGATAAGAAACTCAAAGAATGGCTAACATTACCTAGATTTGAAACTTCTAAGGTCACGGCCATGCTGGGGGAGGGGGTGGGGGGGAGATGGCTCAGCGGTTCAAAGCAAACGATGTTCTTGCAGAGGACCCAGGTTCAGTTCCCAGCACCCACATGATGGCTCAGAGTCGTCTGTAACTCCAGATCTAGGGTACCTGATGCCATCTCCTGGCCTCCATGGGCACCTGACACACATGTGGTGCACATACATGCATGCAGACAAAACACCTATCTATATACACAAAATAAATTTAAACCCTTTGATGGCAAAAAAAGAAAAGAAAATCCTAATAGTCAGGAAGACACTTTACTTGGGACAAGTGTCAATAATGGGTACACCCTTTTCCAAAGGTATTGTTGGGGTTCAGCAGGACAATGCAACTTTCGCACTATACTGAACCTCAGGGGGTCCCTGTGATGGTAGGATGCACTGTCCTCATCTGCCATCTGTATCCTCAAAGTGCCCTATGACTTGGTGCTGCCTGCCTGAAGGTGGCAGAGCGGAGCTCAAGAGAAAAACTACTCGAAACCAAGACCTCTGCCGACCCCACAACAACCACCACGAGTTTCGGCATTCTGGAAGGACTCACACAGAGAACATCATTAGACCAAAGACCCAGACGGGCTCCTTGGGAGATCAGAAATGCAAATACGTGTACAGGCCTTTCTAGATGTTGGAAATTAGGTCACAACAGCCCAACTGTACGGCTGGTACGGTTTCCCTCAGGATGAATTGTGGCAGTGAACGCAGCATCAGGTGAAGGCACCACCCAGAGCTCCTTGGAGAGTAAGGCATCCTTCCCATGGAGCTCCAGGGAAGCAGTGGCAGTTATTGGAGACTCGAGGAGTCACAGAAAGTGGTGTCTTTGGCCTAAGAGTTGGAACTGGGGACAACCACCCTATCCTCTCTTGGCCATCGACTCAAGATGGAGCTGTGCAGAGAAGAGAATGGGAAAGTGCCTGGAAGCTCGGGAGTCAGGAGGCATTAAGAGAAACCCTGTCCAAACCCAGGCAGTCAATCAAGGGTACATGGGGCTGCAGGACTCAACCCCCTGTACAGTGCAACAGCTTACTTCAATAACAGCTAATTCCTTTAGGTGGGACCCGAGGAACCAAAAAGGCCACTTAAAGAGATGTACCTGGATCAATCTTCACGTTGACTTTAAACCCGTGATCATATCCGGTTCTCTCGATCCCACACCAGTAAATGCCGGCATCACTTGTCCTCAGGTTCTCCATGGTTACTGTGACGACGAAGTCTGTCTGGTCATCCCTGATGGACACACGGTTCTTCTTCACCAACTTCTGAGATAGGTCAGTTCTGACGAGAATCTCACATGTATTCCAATCAGCTCCTTGGCACCAGTATTTCTTGTAACCCTTCCAGTATGAATTGTATTGGCACCGCACAGTCAAGGAGCCCCGCTCCTGACCGATCACCATGTTTGGACCTGTGATTTTATCCTGAGCAGTGGAGCAGCCTGGAAAAAACAAACATGGTGGACCACTGATCTCCCACTCCCAGGATGGGACACAGTTCCAGTTCCAAAAGCATGACTAATTGAATGGTGGTCAAGGGAGGGACACCTCTTCTCCAACACAGGCTGTCTTCTGTCCCTCAACACCCTGCTGAGTCAGAGGAGTCAGGAAAACTCTCAAGAAAAACAATTACAGCTCTCAAAAAGAAAAAAAAAAAAAAAAAAAAAGAATGGCCAATCATGATGGCACAGACCTTTAATCCCAGAACTAGGAAGGCAGAGAATGTCTCTGAGTTCAAGGCCAGGGTGGTATACATAGCAAGTTCCAGAACAGCCAGGACTACATAGAGAGATCCTAATGTGGCCAAAATCCCAGGTTCATCCTGAACATCTGCCCTCCACCCACCACATAAACAACATCCAGGTGTGGTGCTGCCAGTCAGGTGTAGCGCCACCTAACCCAGCGGTTAAGAGACTGAAGCAGGAGGACTTAAAGCTAGCCTGGGCTACACAGTGAGACTGAGTCAAAAACCAATTATTCTCCCCCCCACTTCTTTATACCCAACATGTATGCATATGTATGTGCATGTATGGGGCATGTTTGATGCATGAGCCTGAGTTAATGTGCAGACAACAGAGGAAGACATGAGTGTCTTGTTCTATCATTCTCTGCCTTATTCTTTTTTAAGATTTATTTTCACTTTATATGTATGGGTGTTTCGCCTGCTTGTATGTCTGTGTACCATATGAATGCCTGGTGCCTTCAGAGGCCAGGAGAAGGTGTTAGGTCCCCTGGAACTGGAGTTACAGGTGGTTGTGCACCATTGTGTGGCTGCTGAGAACTGAACCAGAGTCCTCTCTCTGCAAGAACAAGTGTTCTTAACGGCTGAGCCATCTCTTTCACGCCTCTGCTTTATTCTTTAGAGACAGTCTCTCACCTGCGCCTAAAGCAATGCTACTGGCCAGCAAGCCCCAGCAACCCATTCCCGTCCCTGCCCCTCACAACACTGGGGTGAAAGGGCACGAGCAGCTTTATGTCTAGCTTTTTATGTGAGCGCTGGGACCCAGACTCAAGTCCCCTTGCTCACACAGTGACCGCTCTAGTCCAGAATCCACACATTGCTGAAGGTTTTCCTTGTCCAGTCCTCATGCTGTGCTGTGGAGAGGGGGGAGTAGAAGACCCCGGCTTTCACAGGGCCTTAGTACGCATCCGCATCCCGAGGAGACCCAGCAAAGCCACATTGATTATCCCTGAGAGGCTGTTGCTGGATCCGAGGGGGCTCCTGTAGTCCCCCACCCTGGATGAATGACTTTGATTCTATATTCTGGCCCCTGGCACACAGGTCCCATCGTCTGTGTGAACCGAATGGGTGCGTTTGTCAAAAAGCAGACGTGTGAGTTCCGGATGGCTTTTGCTTTCTGTTCCTTTGACCAAGTCTCCATCCCATGATTATGCCAGTGTCCTGCCCTACAGCGTCACAGGTGTTCTTGAGGGTGAGAGGGGTGTACTCTCACCTTTGAAAGACTTGGGGCACACCACAATGGCACTTTACAAAAACAGTTTTGGGGAGAGGTGAGATGGCTCAGTGGGTAAGGGCCCTTGCCACCAAGCCTGATGGCCTGGGTTTTATCCCTGGGACCCACATGGTAGACGTGACTCCTGAAAGTTGTCACACAAATGCACCCAACGCATACACCACACACACACACACACACACACACACACACACACACACACACACGAAAAAGGATGGGGAAAGTGGCTTAGCAATTATGAAATATCTTAATTCAGTCAATTAGGCTTTTCACACATCTGTTTTAAGCATGTGTTCTTCTTACATGCACTGTTTTGTCCTTATGTTACACAATTTTCTACTTGCTTGATGCTTCTCTCCTTCCTTTTACTCGTCATCATAGAAGTTCTGAGGTTTAGTTGGGACATTAGTTAGTCTGCTGCTTTTGTTTTTATTTTTGTTTTTGTCTCTGGCCATCAGGAAGCAGGGTGGGGAGAAGGGGGCGAGGGGTGGAGGAGACAGAGAGACTGGCATTTCCCCCTTGGAGTCCATCTGGTTCCCCAGTCTGCGGACTAGCACTGCCCATGTCAGTATAGGTCTCCCCATGGTTGACCCTCTAGGTCCTGGAAGTGCCCTCACAGACGCGCTCAGAGGTGCGCTTCCCTAACCCTGAGCGCTTCTCAACCCGGTCGACATTATAGCGGTGGATGTCATCGCTTTACTACCTAAGTTAGTGTCCCTTCTGTGTCATTTTCTTCCTATTTCTTTGAGATTACTACGTGTTATCGTTACCTTACTAGGAAACTGTGTCCCAAAACAGGCAAAATGGCACATTGGGTAAAGGTGCCTGCTGCAAAAACTGGCCATGTGAGTTCAATACCCAGAACCCACATGATGGAGGAAGGAAAGAATGGACTACCATAAGCTGCCCTCTGACTTCCATGTATACATGCATTCAAACACACACACACACACACACACACACACACACACACACACACACACACACAACAGGAACCTGTGCTCCAGGCATGGTAGTACATGCCTGTTGTTAGGAACTAGCAGCCAGCTGACCCCCGCCCCAACGATGGGCGGGCGCTCATGGTGTCATCCCTACCTCAGCTTTACCTGGCCGCCAGAGGACTCAGTTACGCATGTGCAAGCCTCTTTTAAAGCAAGCGCGCCAAGTGCTTCTCTCTCTCTGCCTCTCTGGTTTCTCTCTCTGTTTCCTCTCTCTGCCTCTCTTTGCTCTCTCTCTGCTCTCTGTCTCTGTCTGCCTCTCTCTGCTCTCTCTCTCTGGTCCCTCTCTGTTCCCTCTCTCTCTCTCTCTCCTGCTTTCGGTTGGCCACCAGCTACCCCCTCTTTCTCTCCCCTCTCTCAATAAACTCCATGTGGGCGCTGAGTCTCGTGTTTGTGTTTCTTAGGCATTAGCTGTGCAGCAAAAGAACAACACCTGTAATCTTGGCACCTGCTTTCTAGTGTGAACCAGTGTGAACTATGCAACTAGTTCAAGGCCAGCCTTGTTTTACCAAACCATGAATCCAAATGGGTCAGACATTTACCTAAAAACCCACCTTTTAGAGATTATTAATACTATTATCGTGTCTATTTGTGTTCTTAGCTTTTACATGGGTGTGTGTTTGCAGTTCACTTTGGTCATGTGGCAATACCATATTTAATATTCTGAAGAGCCATCAAATTGTTTTCCGGAGTGGCCTCGCCATTGTACACACCCATCAGCAATGTACATCTTCTCCAGTTAATTGTAAGAATCTTGGGAGCTGGAGAGGTGGCTTGGATATAAAGAGCAGGCATCGCTCTTGCAAAGGACCCGAGTTCAATTCTGGGCACCCACATCAGGCAATTCACAACAGCCTGTAACTCCAGCTCCAGGGAATCCAACACCTTCTGGGCTCCTCTGCCCACCTACACACATGTGTGCATTCTCTCTCTCTCTCTCTCTCTCTCTCTCTCTCTCTCTCTCTCTCTCTCTCTCTCTCTCTCTCTCATGCACACACACGCACCTCACACTAAAAATCTTTAAAGAAAACAAATCTTAATTGTTCAATTCTAAAAGGCAGAAAGCCTTTTAGAGGAACAGGGCTGAAAACAACTGCTCTAATGGACACATTCATTCATGCAGCCACTGTTTGCTGCTTATCTAACTGGTCCCTGCGATGGTTTTAGGGACAGAAGTCATCCTACTAAGATGAGGGAGAGAAGCAGGGGTGAGGGATGGGGGGACAACACAAGGGACTCATGTTTTGTTTTTGTATTTGTTTTCTTTTTGAGGCAGAGGCTCACATAACTCAAGCCTTGGACTCTGTAGGTGAGAATGATCTAGAACTCCCATTCCCTTTGTCCGTGCCTCCCGGGTGAAGTGGGTTAGACTCCTGCAGAAACAGCAGTTTTAATCAAGGTCCCCAATGAAGCCCACGGTGAGACATGAAGACTTGAGGAGGTGAGGAGCCTGGGCCACATAGGAAAGAACACTTAGAGCAGAGAGGACAGAAGGCCAAGCAAGCCTAGTGTGTTCAAAGCCACGTGGGGAAGGGATCGAACCTGGCAAGGAAGCAAGGGAGAAGAGGGGGGCCCGGGATGCTAGCAGATGCTATGCAGAAAGGAATCAGGTGGTGAGCACCCTCCTTGTAAGCCATCTGCAGGGACTTGGGACAAAGCCAGGGAGGAGGTCATTGGAAGTGGATGTCCCCAGGTTTGGCCTGAGCGCTAAGAAAATATGGAGTTGCCAAACACTAAGGTGGGAAAACTCAGGGAAGAGAAGGATCTGGATAGGTTTGATCAAGGCTTTTTAAAACTTTCTTTCTTCCTTTCTTCTTTCTTTTTAAGTTGGGGTCTCACTATGCCTGAATATCTCTCTCTCTCTCTCTCTATCTATCTATCTATCTATCTTTCTTTCTTCCTTTTATGTGTATATGTGTGTGAGTATGGGTTTATGGGCATGTGCATGTGATAGAATCCAAAGGGACATCAAATCCCCTGCAGCTGGAGTTACAAATAGTTGTGAGAAACCCAATAGTGGGTACTAGGACTTGAACTTGGGTCCTAGGGGAGGGAGGGGGAAGAAGAAAGACTTCTTAACTGCTGGGCCATCTCCCCAGCCTCCACACTTGAAATGCCAAAGTCTAAACATGAAGTCTGAGTGCACCCTTAGCTATAAGATCCTAGAGCCCTGAGAAATGTCTGCACTAGGGGTTTGAAACTGAAAGCCTTTTGCTCATATTATTTCAAACTAAGAAGGGCATCCTAATGACACAGTGGAAACCACCAGAACAAAAAACAAGAAAACTCCCTCCTGCTATTTGCATGCCCTAGAGCAGAGGTTCTCAACCTTCCTGATGCTGTGACCCTTTAATACAGTTCCTCATGTTGTGGTGACCCCCCTTACCCCCCTCAACCATACAATTATTTTTGTTGCTACATCATACCTGTGGTGTTGCTACTATTATGAATCGTAATGTAAACATTTTTGGAGATAGAGGTTTGTCAACGGGGTCCCAACCTATGGGTTGTACCAGAGTAACTGCATATCCATTTATATTGCAGCACTGTTCACGATCACCAAGCCATGGATGAAAGTCCATTGACAGATGGATGTGGAAACATATACACGATGATTACATTGGCAAGAAAATACATTTACCTGGAGATTCGCATGTTAAAGAGAACAAGCCAGATCCAGAAAGACAAATATCACATGTTGTCTCTCATATGCAAAAATCTAGATTTTTTTTTTAAACAAACTAGACATGAAAGTAGAAGGTGAGAAATCAGTAGAAATGGGGGAGGGATGGGGGGGGAGACAGTAATCCGAGTAGATTATATGCACACATGAAAAAAATGACATCATGAACCCATTATTTCACGCTTTTTTGTTTGTTTGTTTGTTTGTTTTGCTTTGTTTTTTGTTTTTCAAGATAGGGTTTCTCTGTGTAGCTTTGTGCAATTTATTTCAAGATGGATTCTCACGGGGCATCCCTGACTAGCCTCAAACTGGTATGTAGACCCGGCTGGTCTGAAACTCAGAGAGATCTGCCAACCTCTGTGTTCCCAATGAGACGATTAAGGGTGTGCACTGTGCCGCTGTGTCCAACAGTAAATTCTCCTTCTTTGAAGTCAAAACTGTATCCATTCACTTTTAGCTATATCAAATCAAGTGTGATGGCACACGCCTACAACCCCAACACTAGCAGACCCCCTTCTGTGCTCTTACGCAGCCTGCACTAGAGCAGGGGTTCTCAGCCTTCCTAATGCTGTGACCTTTTAATGCTGTAGTGACCCCCCAACTGTAAAATTGTGTTTGTTGCTGCCTCATAACTGCAATTTTGCTGTGTTATGAACCATAATGTAAATACTTTTGGACATAGGGGCTGAGGCAGGAAGATCACTAGTTAGGGGGCCAGCCTTGACTGCATAGGAAGCACCCCCATCACAAAACACAAGAAATACACATGAAAGCTGCTGTCAGCCCTCTGCCTTGGCCTTGTCTCCTGCCTCCTCTCCACCTTTTCTGTCCCTTGCCCTCTTCTGCTATTCCCTTCTGTCCCAGCTGGCTTCAGTCACCCTCCATCTGTTTTGCACAGCAGGGTCCCTTTCTTTCCTGGGTGTCTTCCCCAAAGCCTTCCCTTGAGGGAGCTCATTCACAAGATGACAGCCAGGTATTCTCCTGAGCACCTGGGGCTCTGCTGCCTTCCCAATGCCAGTGGTCTGCATGCTCACCTGAGATCCAGAAGAGGGTGGGGACCAGCAGCTCCAGGAGCATCTTGGCACACCCTTGCTTAGGTAGCGCCTGCCCGTCAGCAAGGATGGGCTACATGCTCCAGTCCTGCGTCTCCTGGGCCTCTGATTTCCCTTACTCTCACCCTGGGGCACTTCCTCCTTCAACCACTTCCCACTGGTGAATAAAACCAAAAAGAGGAAGGAGGTAGAGTAAGTGAAATGTAATGCAAGGAGCTGACTTCTGAGGAAGGTTTTTGAGAAACACCACCCTGCCCAGAGCCAGAGTGACTTCTCTGAGAACCGGGGGTCTCCAGCAGACCCACTGATTCGGGACATACTTGGGGCTATAGCCCCAGTGGCTGGAGCCCAATGGCCAGAGGTTCCATAGGCCGAAGGGTATCAGCAGAGAGATTCTAGAACAGACACTGGAACTGGGCGACTGGGGTAAACTGAGGAGCTGTCGGGCACAGATGTAACCCAGAACTCAGGAGGCAGAAACAGGGTGGGGGAAGAACCTGAGCTACATAGTTAAGTCGAGGCTGGCCTGGGTTACGTAGTGACACCTGTCTAAAAAGAGGGAAGGAGGCATTGCTCAGTAGCAGATCTCATGCCTCACATAAGCAAGGTCTTAAGTTTGGTCTTCAGTACTCCCAATCCCTACAAAAATTACAGGTAATTAGGGTGTATGAGCAAGGGTCTACTTACCCAGTATCAAGGAGGGCTCAACTTTGAGAACACACTGGCTGATCTGCCCCAGTCCACTGGATAATAGGTATAGGTTAACCTGAATTCCCCAGAACTTCAGTGAATGCCTGGGGACTACCCCGCCCCACAAAGAAACCAGTTTGCTATTCATAACTCCTAACCCTCGCTCCATGCTCCCCTCAGTGACCATTTGTCCACACATGAAAGGAACGAACGAACGAAGGCCAGCCTTGATGGTCTTACTCTTCAATCCTACATCATGTCTCCTCCATGTCACACACAACCCTTTCTAGCAAGCCTTCGGAGTAGAGTCACTTTTGGTAGGTGCCACACACACACACCCCTGTGACACCGGTGGCTTCACAGTGCCCTCAAGCCCCGGTCAGGCTAACCAGAGTGGAGGAAGAATGTGAGAGGGCTGTTTACACTGAAAACACTGGCCGCCGACAAGCCACTTTTCCAGGATGTGGCCACAGATGGCCACTTCGTTTACATGTTTCTAGACCATAAAGAAAATCCAACAAGGTCTCTGGAGTCTGTCTCACTCGCCGCTATTAATCAAACAGGTCTCTGCCCAGCGCACTGCACAGGTGTGCTGAGACAGTCATCCTCCACAACACTTGGGGAGGGGGTGCCTTTCAGGGAAGAGACCAACAGGCTGGGAGCACCCTAAACACCAAGAGGTGGGATTCCTAGAGAGTCTTTTCTTGGGCAGATGAAGAAAAAAAAAAAAACAAAAACAAAAACAAAAAACAAACAGAATAACCAGAGCAGAGCTGTCTGTCTGGAGCCTGTGGTCAGACCCCTGATTCTGAGCCTCACAGACTGGCCCATCTAAGATGGAAGACCAACCCTTGAATCAAGAACACAGACTTATCCAAGAGGGGTGTGAGTGATAAGGAGACTGCCCCTTATACAAAGACCTCTGTGGGCTCTGAGCGTCAGGCGGTTCAGAAGCCCTGACCATGTCCTCAAAGGCTCATCAGGGGCCCCAGACCTGGCTGGGTCATTGATTTCGGCACAACTCAGTTACCTCCCAGGCTGCCATATCCCCACTCGTGAAACAGGGCATTGAAGCTATTCATGGTGGTGCACAACTGAGGATCAGGAGTTCAAGACCAGCCTCAACTTTGTAGTAAATTCCAGGCTAGACATGAGTTCCCATAGAACAGACCATAGGAGATTCTCCCTTCCCTAAAGCAGTCTGTTTACGAAAATGCAGGCATGCATTGTGGGTATTATTATTTGTGGAGGGAGCTGAATATACATGTATATTGTCTGCATGCGATATGTAATGATATGTTTGTTATGTGTACGTGTGTATATGTGTATGTGCCTATATGTTTGTGTGTACCTGTGTGCCACCCGCAGGAGCCCCTAGTTATAAGGAGAGCCTTTTTTCCTCTTGATTCCTTTGGGCATATGGTCTTTTGAGAATCACCACGTTCCTGTGGAATGCGCCCCTGATTGATTGGGCATTTCCTTAGTAATGGAGAGTTTGACATTCATTTGCACAAGGCCCTGGGTCCAGATTGCATCCCTTCCACACTAGAAGTTCCACAAGAAGTGTACTGCGGAGCTGGCCAGGTGGCCCGGTGAGTAAAGACACTTGCCACCAAGCCTGATGACTTGAGTTCAATTCCTAAGGCCCATATAGTAGCAGGAGACAATCTGATCTGCAGACTGTCTTATGACCTACACACACACACACACACACACACACACACACACTGTGGTGCACACACTGCCCCACTCCCTCCCACAATGCACCAAACAAACAAATAAATACAAATAACTTTAAGAGAAAAAGGGTGCCATGAAAACTAGTAGCCTAAGGCTAAGCCAGGTAGAGATGCTGGATAGAGAGCCCAGCAGTTAAAACCACGTAACTGCTCTTGCAGAGGACCCAGGTTCAGTTCCCAGCACCTACACCAGGTAGCTGTCTGTAACTACAACCCGAGGGGATCTGATGCTCTCTTCCGTCCTTCATGGACACCTGCATACACACACACCACTCATACCCAGGCATACACAAAATTAAAGATGGGGCTAGAGGAATGGTTTGGTAGTTAAAAGAGCATGGTGCTCTTCCAGAAGACCTGAGTTTGGTTTCCAGTATCCATGTCAGACAGCTCACAACCACCTGTTACTCCAGCTCCAGGGGGTCTTACACGCTCGTCTACCTTCACCGGTACACACGTGTCACACACGCACGCACGCGCGCGCACACACACTGTAATAATAAATCTTTTTATTTTAAAAAAAAAAAAAAAACCCTGCTAGAATTGAAAATAACCCACAGGCTTAAATCCCTCAGTGACCAGAAGCAACTCTCAGCCATACTTTCTTGGACTTGCCCCCCAAATGCTGACCCTGCCATCACGGCCGGCTCCCTGCCTTCCTGCCCCCTTCTCAGCCGTACGTAGTAGGGCTTCTGGAGCTTTGCCCCATAGTCGATGAAGCTGAATTGTCACACCCCTAGCTGGATGGGGCTTTCAAGGCCCTATGCCAAATTCAGTATTCGTAACGGAAACCTTTTCCTTCAGAGGCTCCCAGCATTGATGGCGTCGGCTTCGGGCCTGAAGTGGATCTGTGGTGATTCCTCTCTTGGGTTCACATCTCTTACCACAGAGCTTTTCTCTCTAAAGAGAGAGTCTGTTTCCCCTTGAACCTACGGCAGACATGTTTTGCCTATTCTGATACAGCAGAAGTGAGGTGTGGGAGGGGGGCCCAGGCCTAGCTTAGGGCCCCCATATTTCCTCCTGCATTTCCTTCTTCAGCCAGGAGCCCATTGGCCTGCTGGGTGGGCACCAGAGACAAACAGGGAAGAACCGAGCTGCCCTGGTCACCAGCCAGCACACCCTAGACAACCCAGAGAGCCCAGCTGAGGGCAGAATGGTCACCTAGACCAAGTTCTGGCTCAACTTGTGCCCTTGAGTTTACAGCCGTTCACTGCTGTGTCACAGTGCTGTTAGAGAAAAGCTGAGCGTCGCTGGAAGCAAGACCCGACCTTCTGCCCTGCAGCTGTGGCTGTCCCTGACTCCTGTGCACTGCTCTTCTTTCTGTCTCCCCCCCCCCCCCCGACGGCGCCTCCTGACTTCCTACAGTCCCTCCACACTCTTCCTTTACTGCTGCTCAGATCACAGCCAGCCCTGGCACTGAGGGACCCCTGAGGCTCCTGACTGAAATCAGTACCTCTCCCTGGATGACTCAAGCTTACGTGCACAGACTGAACAACCATCTGTAACTCCAGTTCCAGGGGGTTTAACGCCCTCTTCTGGCTTCCACATGCAGGTGCACACGTGTGCACATACCCACAAACAGACGCACAAATGCATGTAATTAAAAACAAAATAAAAACTTCAAAATAGTATGCTTGTCTAACTCACAAAAGTAGCATGCACCCATTTTAGGGAATAGGGAAGATGACAGGCAAGAAGAAATTCTGGCCTCTGATCTCGTCACCATGAGAGATCACTTTTAATAGCGAGGCTTGTATTGTACTCATCTAAGGTCTTCCTATAGAAAGAGGTCTGTCCCAGAAATCAGATGGGCACACTGATGTAAAGCTCATACCACCTGGCATGCTATTGGCTGCCGTAAGGAAGGCTGTCCCATAAAACAAGCACCATCAGAGAGGGAAAAGCTGACGCCTGGCTCTGGGTTGCTCTATTTAGCACTCAAGGATTGGCCACAGCCGTATGTCTATCTTGCCATGATGGATTCTTATCCCTCTGGAACCACAAGCCCAAATAAGCAGCCCCCCTTCGGTAAGTCACTTTGGTCCTGCCATAGAAAAGTAACTAAGACAGCAAGCACTTTTGTTTTGTGCACTGAACCACCTCCGCAGCTCGTCTTTTTCCTTCCTAGATTTCTACCGTGCATACTCTAGGGTTTGCTTCCCTGGTACATACTTGATGAGTTATTTGTTCTAGCGAAGCACCCTTTTCACACATATTTTGGTGCACTTCCGCAAAAAAATTTTTAAAAAAAGCCAAAAGAATTTGCATCAGTACCTTTGATATGGTCAAATGCCCTCCAAAAGTCTGCCTGCTCCCACTACGAAAGCCCAGTCACTCCCTAAACGCGGGCCAGAGTCAAGCATTCTGGAACTACTGGGCGCTGTGCGGTCTGCCAGACTTCTCTCGTGCTACACAAACAGTATGTTAGCCAGGTTTTCCTTGTTGCCATCAAAATGCCTGACCGACTTCAGGGGAGAGGGAATTATTTGGCTAATGGTTTGGGAGAATTTAGTCCATGGCCACTTGGTCCCATGCGCTTGGTGGTGGAACTGTGAAACAGTCTGATCACCATGTGGCCACCCAGGATGCAGAATCTTGGGAATGGCAGAATCCACCTGGTGTCTTCCATTCCATCTGGGCTCTAACCCACAGGATGTGCCACTCACACTCAGAGTGGGTCTTCCCATCGCAGTCAAGCAGTTAATCCTCTCTGGAAATGCCCTCAGGACACCCAGATGTGTCCTTTGA